CAGAATTACTTGAATGCTCAACTTTCAACTTAGCTTTTGATTTCACATTTGCTTGTACACCTTGTGTTCTAAGATCAAGAGGCTTGGAGTACGCCCCACCAACTGATGAAGCTCCTTTGGTTCTAAGACCAAGAGGAACCTTGGAGTTAGCCACACCAACTGATGAGGCTCCTTTGGACTTCTTGATACGGTTTCTGAGTGTTGGCTTGCAACTATTGGTCTGTTAAAAGAAAAAAGGTAAGTTCCAGAACCACAAAGCTGCATAACTCGGAAAGATATCCGTCTATTACGTCCTCAAAGCAATGCACGAGAAAATTTTTAGATACAATAGTAGCCCATAAGACGTGGAAATAAATTCGAAGAAACTTTATTAGTCCCAAGTCATGGAAAGATTACTGTAAGGCTCATAGAGATCCAGAATCGAATATGGAGAAAGAAAACCCATTCACCTCAATTTTAGCTGCGTTAGAACATTTTGAGTACGAAGGTTCACAGCCAATATTGCTGACATCCTGAAGCACGGCCCTCCTCTTACATGGCCGAGATGATTTAGCAATAGAAGGGCAGCTATTTTCTTCAGAAGCAGCTCTTTTCAAATTAGCTCGTGCAGCCCGCCTCTCTTGTTGATATGCAGGAACTTTTGGAGGCAGCTGCCCTGACGCACTAAATGCAGCAGCTCGAGCACGTGTAATTCTACCAGGAAATTCTCCAATATTTTCCCTGATGAGATTTTCTTCTTTTCTCATATTTGAAGGTCTCAAAGAAGATTAAATCATCCAAATGCATCAGAGTAAAACCTGTGGCAGATGAACAGCTCTCAAGTAGCGATCTTAACACCATAAATTTTCATTTAAACAACAAGGTCTTAAAGATTTGATGAGATACAAGAAACATAGTGAAGCTCCATGGTACAAACACCCTTGAATGTTCAAATTTTGGATTAAAAAAACAGTATGGTAGCTGCAAATTTCAAGTGAACTGTTTGATTAAAATAGTGCACGCTTTTCACATATCGCAGATCTATCATATATGCAGTATTAATCCATAGTCATGATTGAAATTACATTGAGCTTCACCACACAGTTGAAACAAAAGACATTTACAAAGAAATGAGAAAGATAGGCAGAAACATTAGGAATTCAAAGTAAACGTTGCCGGGTTAACCAATCTAAAAAATCAATAGATCCCATATGAGCTTCTAACATCTTGCACTTCTTGAAATCCCAAAAGGTACTAAATCCATTAAACTATCCCTAGTAGTAACTCCACCATGTTCATCAACAATGGAGTGGCCAATCATAAGTTTAGAACATTGAGCAGCTTAAAGAACTGATTGGCATTAGTTCAAGAGAATGTGATGAACAAACATGGATTTCCAAGTAGTTTACCAGTAAAAAACAATAAAGAAAAGAAGTATCAAGTAACCAAGGTGCTTGGCCACCAAGAAAGCAGAAGAAAAAGGGGAAAATCAAAGGATCTACACAATGTGTTGCACCAAATCCAAGTCTCAGCAGTGTAATTGACATTCTTGCATTACGTCCAAATTACTACAAATGTCCATTTCATTATTGCACAGTCTTTTAAGAAACAATTCAAACCTAAACTCCTCCACTTCTTTCTCCAAAATTTCCACAATCATCAAAACCCCAAATCGCCGAGCTAAAACCCCCACAAATCCCACCATTCCAACACATAAAATCCATCCCAAAATCTTCAAGAACATCAAACTCCACTCCGCCCTAATCCACAACGACGAAACAATCGCGAAAATCAAAAAAGAAGCGGACAAGAAATAAACCTGAATCTATCTTCCAAGCTCCAAGACCTCCATTGGAGCTCGAGATGAAGATCGAAAAGGTCGAATCAAAACAAGAATATCGGAGAGATAAAGGACAGTGGTGTGTGGGTGAGTAAAGTTGGAATGGGAGTGAGCGGGATGAAATCGAAATTTGAAACATAGAGAAGGGCAAAAAAAATCTGGAAAAAAAAAAACGAAAAGATTTCAAAAGAACAAAATTAAAAACATAAATAAAAAAGAAAAACAGTTATTAATAATATTATTAAATGAATAATCGTGTCTTAATGGCGTTTGCTGTTTTGACCAAAAAAGTGAAAACAACACACTGCGTGGACTCGAAGCTGTCAGCTCTTCAATTTTTATTATCACCTTACGGTAAGCTCGCGCGTGAGTCCAGATTCTCAATTTTTATTCCTCAAATTTACCTTATTACCCCTTTCTTTCCAACGAACAAAAGGCTACTTTTGTAATGTCAAACTGAGCTCCTATCCTCTGTTTTTCGATATTCTAAAATTTTTTATTCAACCTATTCAATTTTGCCACGTAACAGAGTCAGAGTTTGTGTTGCCTTGTTATTGGACAAGGTTTTTCGAGCTTACGTAGGTCTGGCCACATGCCATGTTTTTGTCTTTTTATTTTATTTCTTTTATGGTTTTGAACATAATCGCCTAATTCCTGATTTTTTTCTTTTTTGTGTTTCTTAATTTTAGTTTAATTCCACTAATTTAGGGTAAAATTTTATCTTTTTCCCATTTTGAAAAAATTACTGATTATTCTCCGTTATTTAAAATAAAAAATATTATAAATAGTTTCCAATTTTATATTATTTTTTTATCTATTGTAAATCTAAATACATTTATATCCTTTCAAATAGGGGTGTATATTCAACCTGACAACCTAGACCATCCCAACTCGAGGTGGGTTGGGTTGGATTGGCATTTCGAATAGGTTGGGTTCATTTTTCTAAACCTGAACGTTCTATTTTGGGTTCGTGAGCAAAATCTTTAGTCGACACGAGCCAAATAAAAATATATAAAATATATTAAGTATGCTTTCATATTAATGGGCTCGGTACTGAATCCCGTCTACATGTTTCTTTTTATTATTTTTAATTTATTTTATTTTTTTATTTTTTGAAAACTTTTTATTATTTTTAATAGTTTCTATTATTTTTTTATTGAATTTGTTTTTATTTTTTTTCAATAATTATATAGATGGATTTGTGTTTATTTATAAACTTTTAATATATTTTATTTAAAATTGTATCCAATAGTTATAAATTGCTGATAAATAAAACTTAAAAAAAAAAAATTTGCGACCCAACCTGAAAATAGAGGATTGGGTTAGGTTGGGTTGTGAAAAGTTTTGGATTGGGTTGGTTACCGATCCAACCCACCCGAACTAGGTTGGGTAAAAAAAAAAATTTCTCAACCTGACCCAACTCGGACTATGTACACCCTTACTCTGACCAGGTTGCTTCTTATTTTTAAGAATAAAAATTATCCCCACAAACTAACACTTATCTTTTCAACATGTTTTGTCCTCACTCTTGGGGTCAAAAAGGCACACGTTGTTTGTATAAGCAGTAACTTTCAATTTTTAAAATTTTTCTTAATCATCTTATCCTCGTAATCACTTAGACGTCACATATTAAGCATTAATTTCTTCAATTATTAATATTGTTACGTTCAACGAATTCACGTGTGCGATGACAAGTGCACACCTTTTTTCATTAAATGATGCTTATTTATGGAATGCATTAAATAAATTGTTAACAAATATACATGATTTTTAATGTATTTACGCAATGTGACATGATTAATAATAGCAAGTATACTACATGACAACCAAATTAAACCAAACCAAATCAAACACATAAACGCACACTAAACCTAGTTAGAGGTTAGATTATCTTAATCATAAATCATAAATGTTCCTTAAGTTAACCGAAATTAATCTCCAAATAATCAATAATTATTAATTTGTTAATTAAATTTTGATAAAATTTAATTTTTGGAGTTTTTTAATTTTAAAATCTTTCCATCTACAAAATACAAAATATAAATTTAAAATTTATTAGTCATAAAATTCATAAAAGAACGCTTAATTTAAAAATAAAATTAAAATTAAATTTTTTAGAGATCATATAAATAAAAGTCTAAAAATGAATTTTATGAATAAAAATATAATATTCGCTTAATTTAAAAATAATAATAATAATAAAAATTTTAGAAATCATATAAATAAATTTTTTAATGATAAGTCTATAAATTAATTCAAAATTTATGAATAAAAATATAATATTCGCTTAGTTTAAAAAATAATAATAAAAAAAAATTTAGAAATCATATAAATAAATTTTTGAATGATAAGTCTAAAAATTAATTCAAAATTTATGAATAAAAATATAATATTCGCTTAATTTAAAAATAATAATAATAATAAAATTTTTAGAAATCATATAAATAAAATTTTTAATGATAAGTCTAAAAATTAATTCAAAATTTATGAATAAAAATATAATATTCGCTTAATTTAAAAAAATAATAACAAAATTTGTAGAGATCATATAAATAAAATTTTTAAAGATAGGTCTAAAAATTAATTCAAAATTTATGAATAAAAATATAATATTTTGAAATACAAAGACACAAAAATTAGATATTCAAAACTTTAAACTAAAAATGATATTTTAAATTAGATATTCAAAATTTTAAACTAAAAATGATATTTTTTTTATTTAAATAAATTTAAAAATTAATATTTTTGTTATATTGTAGTTTTACTTGTTTAGAATCACGACTCTACACAATGATATAATATTGTCTACTTTGAGCATAAGCTCTCGTGGGATTGCTTTGGATTTTTCCAAAAAGCCTCGTAGCAATAGAGATAGTATTATTTGATTATAAACTCGTGATCATTCCCTAAATTAGTCGACGTGGGACTTTCATCATCCAACACCTCTTCTCGAACAAAGTACGTCTCCTTTTAATCGAGGCTCGACTCTTTTTGCTTTTGGAGTCCTTTATTCGACATTTGAAGATTTATCAATCTATTGACACAACTAAGTTTAGGGCACGACTCTGATATCAGATTAGAAATCACGATTCTCCACAATGACATGATATTGTCCACTTTGAGCATAAGCTCTCGTAACTTTGCTTTAAGCTTCTCTAAAAGGCTTTAGACCAATTAGGAGTCATGTTCATCTAACACTATTCAAGTAAGAGCGTAATAATTATAAAGATGTGGATTTTTTTATTATTTTATTATAATTTTAGAATCGAATTGTATTAAAAAAAAAAAAACAAACAAGATTATACATCTCAACTAAAAATAAGAATAAATGAAAGTTGATCATTATATTTAAATAAAATCTTATCCCTATAAAAATATTAATTAAAATCTATTTATTTGTAAAAATTTGATATTATTTGGGATATTTCTAGATCAATATCTAATTTTTTTTTTGTAATTTTAAAAATTTTAATATTATATTTATAAGTCTCTAATATTTAGAAATTCAATATAAAAATTTTAAAATTTAAGAATTCATGAAATTTAATATTATATATAAGTCTCTAATACTTACGAGTTGAATTAGAAAAATGTTTTGAATTGTTCGAAAATTTCGAGTTAGTTGGATTGATGATCCGAGTCACCTAAATAGAGTTCACAGCTTATCCCAATCCAACCGGTCGAAATTGATTTTTTTTATTATTTAAAAAAATTATATTTATCCTACGTTAATAACTAAAATCCAGTAAAATTTAAATATCAAATATTTACAAGTTACAATCATCACTTACCAACTTTAAATATTTTAAACTTTTAAAAATAGAGGGTTGAGTTATAACCCTATTTTCGAATCGATTGAGTTGATCAAATTGAAAAAACGTCTGCTCGTAGATTGAATTGAATTTTTTATTTTAAAAAAATTCTAACTCAACCATGATTTGAGTTGAATAGGTGTGGTGTGACATTTATTAATAAATGTATAAATAATTTAAAACGAGAAATGGCTTGCATTTTAAAATAAAATAAATATAATAAACAAAAAATATATGGCGTAAGGAACCGACGCAGAGTTTGGTTGAATATGATCTTCGTTCTTTGAAAAAAAACAAAAAAAAGAGAGAGAAAATTGAATTTTTCTCAGAGAACAAGAGAGAATTGTCATCTCAAATTCTCAATTCATATCCGCACAGCTTTCATCTCTCTCTCTCCTTCCGACCTTCCTTCATTTCTGGCGCGTAAAAGCCGGCCAGGAACCAGAACCATGAAGACTCGGAGATGATAATCGATTACGAATCTCTCACAGTGAGCGATAGATAAGAATGGCAACTCAGCTGCTATCTCAGACTTCAATTTTTTCCTCTGTTTTCTGTAGCAATAGTAATGGCGTTGGTTTTTATAAATTCCGCTCTTCCCCTCACGTCCATCATGTCTCTGTTTCTTCTTCTTCATTTGCGATGGGTAAAACCGATCAGTCCATTTCTAGACTCTGTTATTTGGCGACCGATTTGGCGAAATCAGGTATTTTCTTCTCACGACTTAGTTTTGATGAAATACTATTGGTGATTATCAGGTTTTGTCTATTTGGTTCTGTCATATCCTCTGTTTGGCATCTTGGAATGGTTTCTGATGATGGTGAGGAGTAATTGGTTGTCGAATGTTAGGAAGGTTATGAAATGTTCTTCGATTTCGAATGCTGTGCTACTTTTAGGGAGGTTATTTTTATGCGTTTGGCTGTGCAATATTCTCTGTTAATATGGAGGGAAATTGTTGCGACATGTTCTTGGGAATTTGGTTTCATGATGCAAGAATGAAACGTTGTTTTTATTTTTCTGCAATATCATTTGGTTCTAGAAATGGATTCTGTCCATTCTTGGTGTTTGGATGTTTTTGGTTTCTAACGTATAGAGTAATCCCTTTTTCCTTTTATCTTTGTACTCATCAAACTTCGTTATACATTCATCATAGAGATATGACAATCTCTCTAGATTGAGCATTCTTTTTAGATCGTTCTGTTCATGCTTGGAACCTTGTTCCCTTCCGTTTAAGGGACATTCTTATATGAGACTTATGATATGTAAAAGCATCATAAAATGTAACAGCCCAAGCCCACCGCTAATATTATTTGCTTTGACCCGTTACGTATTGCCGTCAGTCTCATGGTTTTAAAACGCGTATGCTAGGGAAAGATTTCCACACCTTTATAAAGAATGCTTTGTTCTCCTCCGTGAGATTTCCGTGAGATTTCACATAAATAGTTTGTAATTTATAGTGAGGTCAGAGAGAGCTAATTCTTGTATTTTATGATGAACTTTTCAATATTTGTAGTGAAGCTTCTATTTATAGTTTCAGAAAGCTGAAGTTCTATTGTTTGATGGCCAATGCTGTTCTACCGTATCTTGTATAGTATGCTGCGTTCTTAATCATTGATCTCTTCCTTTTACTCTAGGCAATGGATGTTCATGGATTCAAGATAACTCCTCGGGTTGCAGCGTTGCTGCCTCCGACAAGTGTTATCAAGGCACCGTTTGTTATGCATTACCCATGAAACCAGCACAAGTTTCCACTGTGGAGGATCTTTTTGAATTCATATGCTCAGGTCCCTTGATAGAAAAGTTGGGTATGAGCCCTCAAAATGTAGCTGATGCCATAGATAAATGGCTGGCTTATGGTTCTTATCTTTGTCGATTGTTCAAGGTTAATGAAATGGAGCTCACAATTCCCCAGAAAGCAAGATTTTACCATTACTATATACCTGTGTTTTTTTGGTGTGAGGATCAAATATCTCAACACCATTCCTCATTTAAAGAAGAAGAAGAAATACCTCCCTTAGTGGTAAGCTTTAATCTCATTGCAAACCTGCTTATAATTATTATTTGATGTTCTTCCGCTTTGAGGAATTAAGATGTTTCGCACGAGGCTAAGCTTTCATGGATGTTCTTTACTCGTGGCCTATTAATTACGCTGGCTATTACTATCAGAGCTAAATTTTCTTTATTCCTCTGACTACTTGTCTTCAAACCACTTATTGGTGCTTGTGTAGATAGGATTTAGCGCTCCGCAAGGTTGTGGCAAGACGACACTCGTGTATGCTCTCAATTATCTTTTCGAAGTAACAGGCAGGTAGGCTGCGATGCTAGTAAATTTACCATAAAGAGGGCTGAGTATCTGCTGAAGTAGTGACTGAATTTCTGACTGAAGTTCTATCTCAGGAAGTCTGCTATGTTATCCATTGATGACTTCTATCTCACAGCTGAAGGGCAGGTTGGTTTGCCATCTATGATGTTGTTAGCATTTCCTTTCCGTTTGCAGAACTATTAATAAGTTAAGTGTCACATGGTAGACCCAACTGAGGGAAAGCAATGCGGGAAATGCACTTCTGGAGGTAACTTTTTTTGGTCTCATCCTCTTATATTCCTTCCGTTAGTTATAACTTCGTCAATTTTTAGTTTCGTGGAAATGCTGGAAGTCACGATCTCGAACTGTCGGTTGAAACACTCACAGCTCTATACAAGATGACCAAGGAAGGTCAGCATCTCCTTCACTTCTTTTGCTTCTGTTTCCCTTATTTTGATTGTTTACTAATTTAGTTCTCTTTTAATGAAGGTTTAAAGATGAAGATTCCCAGATATGATAAAGTAAGTGCAAATAGCCATCCTCTTGGTTTGCTTCTATATAATTCCGGCCACTTGTGATTCTCAGCCCCCCTTGTCCTCTGTTTAAACCAGTCTGCATTCAGTGGAAGAGGTGACAGGGCTGATCCTTCTACTTGGCCAGAGGTTGAAGGACCACTAACAGTAAGATATTTAATTTAACAAAGAAGGAACTTAAACTTTATTGCACCTAGCTACATAAACTTTGATTTGGTTACCTTTAGGTTGTCTTGTTTGAAGGCTGGATGCTTGGCTTCAAACCGCTCTCGACAGAAGCTGTCACAGCAGTTGATCCACAGGTTACCCTTTTCAACTTTCCAGAACTTAATTTTCAAGCTTGCCCTCATTTGTGAATGTGAGATCACACATAAGTCGAGGAGAGCGAAACATTGTTTATAAGAATGTAGAAATCTCTCCCTACCATACGCATTTTAAAACGTTGGGGGAAACTCCAAAAGGGAAAATCCAAAGAGAACAATATCTACTAACGGTAGGCTTGAGCTGTTACAAATGATATCAGAGTCAGACACCGGGCGAAGTGCCAATGAGGACGCTGGTCCCTAAGGGGGTGGATTGTGAGATCCCACATCGATTGGAGAGGAGAACAAAACATTGCTTATAAGGGTGTGGAAACCTCTCCCTACCAATCATATTTTAAAACCTTGAGGGAAAGTCCAAAGAGGACAATATCTACTAGCGGTGGCTTGGGCTATTCCAGTCAATCTATCGTTAACAAAGGAAAACAAAACATGAGAAAATCTCTCTCAAATGAACATTCAAATTTGACAGCTTGAGACAGTGAACAACAACATGAAAGCGTACTACAACGCTTGGGATAAGTACATAAAGGCGTGGATCGTGATCAAGATAAACGACCCCAGTTGTGTTTACAATTGGCGGCTGCAGGTAAGCTTTGTTAACACATTATTACCATACAACCAACTGGGTTTCAGCAACCTTAAGAACTGCATATTGTTATGAATTTGCAGGCAGAGATTGCAATGAGAGAGGCAGGAAAACCCGGGATGAGCGACGAAGAGGTACTCCGAAACGAAACATCAAAGTTGCATTAGTAAGATGGTAATGAAGTAGTTGATTGTATGGATGAGGAAGTTGTGGTGGTGGTGGTTTTCAGGTTAGAGATTTTGTTTCACGTTATCTGCCGGCGTACAAGGCTTATCTTCCCACGTTATACTCGGAAGGGCCAAGTGGGTCAGATCCAAAGAGGCTGCTTGTGGTTGAAATCGATGAAGAAAGGAATCCAATTCTTGGTTATTAGGTGGGTTTCTCAGCTTTCACATGCTCTTTTTGACTGCCTTTTTACACCCCTATGTGGATACCACCTACCTACTACTTACACACAGGTAAGAGCTCTTACTTTTGGATTGTTCGATAAATTGCAAATTTAGTCTTTAAAAAAAATTCAAACTTTTATTAGACACTGAAAATTCGAACTTTTATTGGGTACTTAGTTACCGTTTAAAAATTTATGAGAATTTTTCAAAAGTGTGTAACTTGGGCTTCAAGTCTACAAGTTGAGGTCAATATGGGCTTATCAATCCAATAGACAAAAGTTTGGGCTTAGGCCCAATGTGGTGGATTTGTTTGGATAATTGGCTAATATTAGTTTTATATGAACTAAGAAAAAAAATTAGAAATTAATAATTAAAATCACATTAGTAACAAATATTCACAAGTTGCAGCTTATCACTAACATCGGTGTGATAAATGTCAAATGTTTTTAATCTGGGTAATCTTAAAAGTATGATAGAGTTAGATTGGATTGAAATTATTTTTGGATTGGTCGGGTTGACAAAACCAAAAAAATGTCATTGACCTGAATTTTGGGTTTTTTTAAAATTTAACCCACCTCAAACCGAAAAAAATATAATCCAACCCATCGTTTATGGTTTGAGTTGGGTAGTTTGGTTGGTTGAATTATCGGGTCATATGAACACATCCTAATTGAAAATGAGTATCGAAATAAAATTAAGTAAAATAACTTATATATTACTATAATCTAATTATATAAAATGTCCCTCCTAAAATAGCATGGCACACTTACAATTAATAAAGAGGTCCTATAATAATTATAGGAATGACTTTTATGTCTATTTTCAAACAAAATAAAGTCATAACAATTAACCAAAAGATTAAAAATATAAAAATTAACGAAAATATGCCTTCATTTTTAGAGGACATCTTCCTCTTCTTTCCATTTTCTTCTGCTCAATGCTCATAGATCTTTAAATTGCAGGCCGAACCCTTTGGCCTCGGATCTCTTCATTATCCTTAGCCTTTTGCACGATTCGATAAACATCCTGAAAAATTAATAATATTATTAATTTTTTAAAATTATAATAACAAATTTAATTAGGGAATAATCCTTTTCAAATATAAAATTGGATTATTATGATTTTAAATAAATGGGATGTGTCGGGCAGGGGGCAAGGAGAAATGCAGTGAGGGACAACTTTGTAATCTGGCTGACATTATTATTAAGGTTTGGTTCGTGTCGGTATCATGTTGTGCGCGTTAATGAATGGAATGGGAGATTTGAAAAGACCATTTTGCCCATCCCCTACCTCTCTTCATAAATGAAGTGTTGAAGATTAATAGCGATTTTATCAATCAAATCAAATTGACTTTGACGGAAGACTTCAATTTAAAGCACCGTTAATCAACGGTAATTTAACATATATATATATATATTCCTTCTACCGGAGCGGGGATGGAGAAGCTTTCCCGTTCTTTTCCCCATCCTTTATTCAATCTCTACGTCCACAAAATTTTTCATTTATTTTTTTTATATATTAATTTTTTTAAAAATATATCTATTTTAAAGAGTATTTAATGGATAATATCTTCGATGTATAACATATTCAACCCTAAAAAATTAGGGATCACAACGCAAAGATTTGAGTAGGATTGAGGTGGGGGTAGGAAATATAATCCTTATTTATGGGTTAAATGGACATTTTTAATTTACGACCGGGAACATGAGAGTAGTTTAGACACACGTTATTCACCGGGAACATCGATGGTAAGCTATTGATTTAAAATTTTACCCTACATGATTTATTAAATTAAAGAAAATGAAATTTTAATTTTAGTAAAAAGAAAATTTAAATTTAGAAATTAAAAAGATAAAAAGTAAACTTACTCCCATGGGACGTCTCCAACAAGCATCCAATCTCCATCTTTGTCCTCGTAAATGGGAACGTAATCAGAACTTTCTCCATGCTTTGATGTCTTCCCTGTCATTTTACAAATTTGCCCATACTCTTATTTATATATTTTTCTAGAATGAAAGAACTTTTAATTACCATGCAATATTAACTTATTAAGTTACTCTACAAATGGTAAAAAAAAGTGTATAAAAGAGGAAGAAAATAGAGCTTTAAATTAATTTACCGGTTCCAAAGCAACCAAAGAGCTTCTCGAGAGCAACAGCAAGATCCGAGTAACCTTCATGAGAACCCAAGTCAAGTTTACGCAGAAATGGAGCTCCATCCATACTAATCTTCACGTACATTTTCGAATTCTCATTCTTAAGCAACGACTCTTTTTCTCCAAAGCTATTCTTTTTTCGATAAGAACACACAGGTGGCCATCCCACGACCTGTCCCTTACTCGTCGTGTTATTCTTTCGGTCGACATCGTCCCTAGTTGGCTCATCTTCATCGACGATATCTGCGTAGGCTCGTTTCTTCTCGTTTTTGTCGTTGTTGCCAGGGAGACCTAGGCGAAGCTCGGTGATCTCGAGCCCGAGGGATTCGTTTGCCATTTGATGGAAGAATGGGTGTTTTTTTGTGTGTTTAGAATGGGAAAATGAAAAGGGAAAAGGGATATATAGAAGAGGGAAGTGGGGAACAATGACAGGTCAACTAAGGAGACGAGGAACAAAGGTGGGGTCTTGATGCTCCCTAAGACACCGTTAAGGACCGGCATAATAAGTTGGATGCAGGATTTATGTTTAGGGTTTTTATTTTATTTTATTTTTTTTATTATATAATATATTCTTAAGAAATTTTGTAACGCGTTTTTATTTAGTCTATCGACAACTTTCAAAATTACAAATTTAATCTACAAATTATTTATTTTATTAAAATTTATGAATCTGTTAAATATAAAATAAAAAATTTAAGAACGGGTAAAATTCAGAAGTAAAAACACAATTAATACTTCAAAATTTTCTTACGAGAATTGTCACAATCGCACTTTTGATGGTAGCGGACTTGTGATTGTGCAGTACTCACTTCCTATCAACAAGTGAGTTAAGTCAATTCGTTCTTGTGTCGCCTACGGCCAAGCGACGTATGCTCGAGTCTCTAGACCGGGTTCAAGAAGAAAAATTTAGAAAACGAAGGCAGAGAGATTTCAAAAGAGAGTTTTGAAAGCAAGATTTGAGAGATTGAAATTGGTGTTATATGTGATGCAAGGAAAAAATGCAACAACAACGACTTACAGCATGTAACGATCGGGGAAGACTTATTAGAAATTTTTAAAAATTTCTAATAATTCAAAATTTTAATTAAATATGTTTCCAACGTTAAATAAATACAAATCTAAAAAAAAAAAAAAAAATAAAAAACTTAAAATTTAACCAAAATTATATAAGAAATAAAAATTTAAAGATTTAATTTCTCTAAAAAATTCTAGTTTTATTTTTCGGATAAAATAATTTTGTCAATTTTTTTAATCATGGTTTTCACTTTTAAAATAATTTTAATTAATAAATTTTATGCTATTAAAAATAATTAAACCAAACAACAAAAATTAGATTTAATTTAATTTTATTCCAATAATAATAATAATAATAATAATTATTATTATTATTATTATTTTTGATATGAAGTAATTGATGAACATTTCATGAGTACATACCAATAGACAATGATCACATGGAGCTATACTTTTGGAAATAAGTATGAAGCATGTGCTTCCATCCCACATCTTTAATTTCATATATAAATAAATAAGAAAATAAAATAATTAAAATATAAATAATAATCATCATTATATCGTTTAATCTATATTATACACTCGAGATTAATTATTGTAACAAAATCAATAATATACACAATATTCGACACATTTTTGTAGAAAAATAACTAAACTTAATTTAATTATGCCGATAACCTTGTTGGGACCTAACGGTTTGACCCGATAATCGACCTTGTAATGGAACAGATAGGAGAGGAAGCCTATAGAAGCGATCAGCTCAAAACCCACCTCATATTTTATATGAATTAATTGATTTCAATTAGATCGATGACTCTGGAAGAAACGTGCCCACGAGGGTACGAGATAAAACTTACCGACAAACAAATGTTTAGTTTTTATTCGTTGGATTCCGTGTTATCGTGGACAATTTGGATTCATGATGGAATGAAAATCAAATTGATGATGAAGAAGAATTTGGTGTGCCAAAATATTGATGACACTAATTATGTCTCCAATCAAATCATATAATAAAAGTTAAGGTTTATATAATAACTATTTGTATTATTAGTAAGTATAAATTTATTTATGATTTTTATATTAATTATTCCTAATTTTAAAATTTTTATTTGAAATAATGTAAATAAATCTCACTTCACACCTTCGAACGCACGGTTTTTATAGAGAGAGAGGCGCTTTCACATCTTCTTAACCCGAAATGGCAAATGGCTGGGGAGAGGAAAGGTTCCTTTTTTTAGGGTACCCCAGAAACTGATCTGATAAACGAAAATGTAGTTAGTTATGGTTAGTACGGTAGTATTTTTAAATAGACGGGTCCCATAAGATAAGTCATGTGGAGTTGTTAAAGCTACAAGTTTGATAGGTGAATAATGTATCTAACTCAGTTGCATAAAATTATAAGATACTCTTTGATACATATATTGATTGTGTTTTGCATATCCAAAATAGTTGGGATATGTAATATATCTCGATTGTGTTTGAAATTTTTTGAACCAATTAGAAAATTTGGATGATCGGATTGGTTGGGCTCACGTTAATAATTAAAGGCTAAATTAATAGAAAAATAACTACTTAAACTTAAAAAAAAAAATCAAAAAAATTTCATTAATATGCTCGTAATGAAAATAGTATTTTGTTTCAAAAATGCTCTTAAATTTTAAAAGATTTCATTAATAGTTAAAAAAAAAGTTGAAAAATATTTTTATCGTCAATATATAGACAAAAATAGTATGTTGACACCTCATAAATTATCTCTAAACATTTTAATGTTAGTTTGGGGAATTTAAGGTTTTTTTTTTCTTTAAAATTAATTTAGCCTAATTAGAATTTTATAAAACTCAAATATCAAACATCTACCGTATACAATACATCAGTAACATCTGTTATAAACGTCAAATAGTCTTCATCTTCATAACATTCTTCGAAATTGGGTTGAGAGAAATTTTTAGACCCATCCAAAATTTCAAGTTGGTCAGGTAAAACCGACCAAAAAAAATCTGAGTCTACGAGCTGAACTGAATTTTCAATTCTCGTATATTTAAAACACGAGCTCGGAGAGTAGAAAAGGTTTATTCAACTCATTGATATGTGATACACATGGATGGTTATATATATATATATATATATATATATATATATATATATATATATATATATATATATATAGTCAATAAAGCATGTTATATGTAGGGATAAATAACAACATATAGTCAAAATTAACCCATAACACATTATTTGATGCCAAAACTAAGATACTCCTCATTATCACCTATCATATTCTTAAATAAACATTAATCAATATTAACAAGACATGATTAAACTTTCGGGAATTATTGGGCCGAGTTGGATTTGAACTAATTTACAGTCTATTCCCATTAACCCTCGAGCATCGACTTGGGAAGAATCAGTTTCGAACTTATTGATAATCCATGATACCTTTGCATGCCTCCAATACTGTAATAACCCAAATCCACCGCTAGCAAATACTAATTGTTGGGGACCAGCATCCTCGCTGGTACTCGTTTGTCGGATCTAATAAATACTTTTTGAGAGACCTACACCCTATAGAAATTGTCTACCTGAAACTGTCATTTGACCCATAAGACTAATTGTTTTCTATGTATGTTATACATAAAAACTCGATACGAACTAGAATGAACAGTGCAATAATCGTAAGACGATGAACTCACGACACAGCGACATCAAATTTGAAAGATCATAGCGTAGTCGTAAGATATGGAAGAAGAAACGCCGGTGAAAACTCGTGGATTTAAGTAAGTTTGATCTTGGAACGTTAAGGAATGAGTTAGAAAGATGTTTGTGAGGGAGCGAACATATGTTTCCTTGGAGATGGACAAGAGAAGAAGAGTGGAATAAAGAAGGAAGAGGGAATGGCATATCCCTAAGAGAAAGGCACACGTGATAGAGCTGTCTCTAATTTGGTTCTTCACGCCAACCCATTTCCCTTTAGACAATTAGACCATATTATTTTGATTTTGCCTCTCAACCAAATCTCTACCACTCTTCAAATCATTGGACCCACCACCCACTTTCTTTCTTCTTAGTTTGTGCTCGGGTTGCATAAACTTATCGAGAGCTGTCATCACAACGTGACTAACAATTTTGAACCGTTGAATGTACGAATGAGTGTGTCTTGTATTTGTATCTAGTAATTATCACGGGACATGCAGATTTTCGAATCTACTTCAAGTAGTTATAATACGACGGTTTAAGTATATACTTTTTTTTCAAGAACGTGAAACATTTAAATATTGTGGATATATTGTATTTGATAAATACCCGACAAATAGTTAAAGTCTCTTTTTGTACAATTAATCACGTGAAATGAGTTACATATAAAAAAGAAGAAAAAATTCTCTCTTAATTATACTTTAGCTGAGAAAAGTATAACAACATATTTGTTTTGAAAAGGGGCATGATGGTTGAATCCATCGATGAAAAAAGCAAAACATTACACATGCAAGTGTCACATGTGCCTATGTTGCGGATATACGTGTTCACTCATGTGCTTTTCGAAAATATTTTTAGGAGGTCATTGAACTAAAATTGTTCACGACAACCACATTTAAATTTGAAATTTTTACAATTGGGTTAGTGTAGTACTATCTTATTGGTATAAATAGTAACGATAAATTATTTTATTACTAAATATTAGTAATGATTTAGTTTTGAAAATAGGAAAACTAATAGAAAATAATATAATTATTTTAGGTGGAGTGAGAATTTAAATATTTAAAATTACGGTTCTTGACTAAAAAGGGTAAATTCGGTAATGCAGTTAAAAAACAGGTCAAACATGGAGTGGACCACGTGTTTCCACGTATTTGAAACTATGGGCCAACCTTGTTTTAGTATGGGCCAACCTTTGTTTCAGTATGGGCCAACATTTGTTACAGTATGGGCCAACCTTTGCTTGACTATGGGCCAAACTTCTTTGAGTATGGGCCAACCTTTGTTTTAGTATGGGCCAACCTTTGTTTCAATATGAGCCAACCTTTGTTTCAGTATGGGCCAACCTGTGTTCCAGCATGGGCCATCCGGTGTTTCAGCATGGGCCAACCTTTGTTTTAGTATGGGCCAAATTTTGTTTCAGTTTGGGCCAACTTTTGTCTTAGTATGGGCTTTGCTTTGTTTCAGTTTGGGCCAACTTTGTTTTTAGTATGGGCCAACCTTTGCTTGATATGGGCCAACCAATGTTTCAATATGTGCCAACCTTTGTTTATGGGCCAACTTTTGTTTTAGTATGGGCCAACCTTTGTTTGAATATGGGCCAACTTTGTTTTAAGTATGGGCCAACTTTGTTTTAAGTATGGACCAACCTTTGTTTGAGCATGAGCCAACCTTTGTTTGAGTATGGGCCAAACTTCGTTTGAGTATGGGCCAACCTTTGTTTCAGTATGGGCCGAACTTCGTTTCAGTATGGGCCAACCTTTGTTTATGGGCCGATCATGAGTTTCATTATGGGCCAACCTTTGTTTTAGTATGGGCCAACCTTGAGTTTCATTATGGGCCAACCTTTATTCCATCTGACCCTAAAAAGTGAAAACCCAATCTTGGATCAAGTCTAGCGGACCTGAAATACTGTTTGAGCTTGGATCAGGTCGAACTAACCTTTATTAATCAAGCACACGACTCATTGGATCAAAGTTTGGTCGAGCTTGGAGAGCTGAATAGATTAGCCCATTCAAAACCATTATTAATTATTTATTTATAAATATACATTTTAATATTTTCTTAATTAAATGTAATAAAATTGATCGAATATATATATATATATATTTTTTTTTTAATTTTAAAATTTTGATAATTTAACTTGCCAAGACTCAACCTTATGATGTATAAGCATAGAGGAAATGAATAAAGGAAAAGAAATGTATAGCTCTCTTCACCTAAATATAACTTCAGATATTGGATTTGGAGCAAAACCCATACACAACCTTCCTTGTCTAGAATCTACAAAAATTGTGAGCAACTCAAAATGTCGACCTCCAAACCCAATTGGGAACTCAAGTTATGCACATTTCCAGAAGGAATACATATCAGAGAATTGGGCAAACTAGAAATGGGTGGAAATCAAAGAGGAGAAAGAAAAGGAAAAAGAAAAAGAAAAAGAAAAATAGAGAGCAAAACAAGATCTTCAACAAACTACAACCCGGATTTACCACAGCTAGCTATTAACCTAGCATGTGGCGGTGGTGGTTGATTCTATGCAAGTAATTAACAGACTCTGGGCAGCTTCCTTTTGAATCATCTAAGGACACAATATCATCTCCAAAAATTAACCTGCAAATGCAACAATACCTCACATTTTTTGTATCAGACATTACGCTCAAATAGTGAGCTCCTTGAACCCATCAAGCTTTCCGTTGTTATCTGATATGGAGTTGGCACCAACCCTTTCTGCATCTTTGCATATTTGGTTGTTTACTGAGTTCCCTATGGCAGAGCTGAGGCTGCCTTCGAAGTACGTGGAGTAAGGGAAGAACTCCGAACATCGGGTTTTCCATCCTAAGGTGGAATCCACATTAGCAATACACAACAGCAGATCAGAATATATAAATTAAAATTTTAAAATTATGCATAGTTTACACAAAATGATGAATTAAAATATCTACTGCTATATGCCACCATCATACTTGGTCAAACTTCCCTTCTTCCCCATTAAGAAAGGGAAGAACCATAAATTCACATTAGCAACACAACACCAGATCAGAATATATAAAACACGTACTGCTTTCGAGTGGTTCTAACCACCTACTTTCCAGTTGTTCCTTCTAACCAGAAATTCAAACATGTTGTGGTATGGGTTTGCCAATATTTATAACTAAGCACATTAACTGAGTAATTGTACTGTTTCTGGGGGAATATAACTAGTGCTCATAACTAAATCACAATAAAAATATTAAAAAGAGAAAAAAGGAAGAAAGAGCAAGAAATCCCTTCCCATCTAGAACAGAGGACTTGTAACCTAACTGTGTTCACGGGAGATTTTTTCTTTTTTCTTTTTACCCATCAAAAGGGGTCCAACTACGGGGACTCCGATAGAAAAGAATAATACCTAGTCGACAATTTAAAAAAAAAAAACTTTAGAAACCAAAGCCCGAAGCTCACAAAGAGGTGTTCATTTAATGATATCCCAAATTTCCTTGTAGTACATTTCACCCTCTGTGTAAGCTCTGTTATGTTTCTCAAGCCAAATGTCCCACACAG